CCTGAATTTGCAAGTAAATGTATTAAATTGTGAAAATGTGTCTTCAATTGGATTCTTGTTCTCTCAGGCCCATGCAGACTTTGTGTGCAGTTTCTCAGGTCGCCTGTGGGAGCCATCATTCAGTCGCCCTGACCAAAGGTACAGTAAAGGCTGTGGTTCAGGGGGAGAGCTGTTTCCACACATTTGTTGGTCACATCGTACATGATATGCTGAGGGCCGAAACATCTCTTAGGGGTTGACCAATCACAACAGAGCCCGCCAGCTAACCAATCAGAGCAGACTGCGCCCTGGTTTCAGACAGAGGGTGAAAAGAGGTGCTGCAGCACAGGCAGTATGAGAAAAATAAAGAGCTTTTTGAACATTAAAGCATGGAGACATGTCACAGTAGAGATACAAAATACTATTATGAACCTGAAAATAAGAATAATATGAACCCTTTAAATGTTATTTTATACTTTTAATGCAAATTAATACTTTTTTTAGGTTGATATAAATATTTTTTATTTTGTTTATTTTTCACTTTATATTATTTAAAAATTGAACAGCTGTCACGGAAACCGCATTTTCTCCAGGATTTATGATCCTAAGGTATGGATATTAGCTCCAAAAAACGTAGTATTGGACGGTAATAATAATTACAAAACCTGTTTCTCAAAAAATCATTGATTACAAAGTAGTTTGCCAAAAAAAGGTGCATTAGGGAAGTCACAGTGTTTTCTCCACAGATGGTCAGGTGTATACATGGGGCCAGGGCTCCAGGGGCCAGCTGGGTCTGGGGGAGAGAGACCCCAGCACCAAATACCCCCAACACCTGAACTCTCTGTCAGCGGTCCCCCTGGTGCAGGTCGCTGCAGGGGGGGGGCAGAGCTTCGCCCTCTCTGTATCTGGAGCGGTGTTCAGCTGGGGCAGCAACCACTGTGGGCAGCTCGGCCTGGGAGACACTACAGGTACATGTCAAGACTATTGACACAGCACTAGCATTTAACAAATCTATTTTATACTATTTACATTGCAGTTAGAACATGTTATTCTTTTTTTTACAGACAGACATACACCCACTCCCTGTTCATTGTCTGAACTTGAAGAAAACTACCCACATTTCCTGTGGAAAGGCCCACACTGCCACTTTGACAAAGGTTAGATTCCTGATTTTTGCCAACCTGCAGTCCTTTCTTTCTTCTGGACAGCAGACATAGTACACGTACAGTAACATAATTCAAGTGTGCTCATAAAATCACACCCTTGTGCAAATGCAATAGGTTTTCAATGGCTAATTTTTTTAAGTAAAATGTTGTGGTTAAAAGCGTGCAATAAACTCAACAAACACAATAAATAGTCCAATATTATTTAAATATATTTCACTAGTCGTAGATATCTGCTACTTTTATACCTCCAAAAGTCTTGACATTTTAAACGTGCTTTAACAAATTATGTTTAGCTGTTCGGGTTAAATATGACGAGCTTTAGCTAACAGATGCTTATTTTTATATCCATATACTGTATATGTATACAAATACAAAAAAATCACGAAAAACAAAAAGACTGCCTGCTTTGGCTAATCAGTACTGGTCAGAGAAGTGAGTCTGAACCAAAACAGTATGATGTTAACAGCAGACTATGAATCATTGGCTAACAGAAAAAAAAAGGTCTCCTATCATGCAAAATGCACTTTCTGATGTCTTTCATACATAAATATGTGTCCCCGGTGTGTCAGGGAACTCACGCAGTGTCAAAAAGCTGCAATCAGAAACAATGCACGACGTGTTTTGGACATAATAGTCTTTGTTTACATTAGCAAGCATCGCTAACACTCAGAGCTAACCTGTACTGGAGATAGTAAGTGTAAAAAAGCAGGAAATTAAAAAAGGAACTCAGCTTCTAATAAAGCCACAAAAGAGAAAGCATTTGAGCTCCATACTGTTTCAGAAATAATCCTTGATGTGGTTTGGAACATGATGGCATTTAATCCGGGCAGTATTTAGCTGTATCTCCTAGAATTCTGAGCAGGCATTAGCTCCCCCTCCTCTTATTTTTTTTTTTTCAATCTAAGGACCCAGAATCAGCGTTTCTCTAACAGGGCTGAAACAGAGGGGTGTGACGGATGTCTCAAATGCATGATCTGTTTGGTATTTTGAGCAAAACACATCATAGACATTTAAAAAAAAATATTTGTATATATCTGAGTGAGACCCATATTTTTAGGCATATATTTATGCCTAAAAATAGCATGATAGGAGATCTTGAAGGACTTTTTATGCAATACTGGAACTTCTAAGACTCCGTACCGAGAACGTCTAACACATGTACATGTACATACGTAACAATGTCTGGTTGCCTCCTCAGGACGGTGGAGTGTTTACGTTTGGCTCTGGTGAATATGGACAGCTCGGACACAACTCATTCAGAGATGAACTAAGACCTCGGCTTGTTGCAGAGCTCTGGGGGGCAAAGGTCACCAAGATCGCCTGTGGAAGGTACTAGTATATCTCACCTTTTATAAAGCAATCATTTTCATTCAACTACTGCAAGACGCCGGTGAAAGTGTGTTTATGTCTCCGATATTATTAAAATGATTTGCCATTTATTAAGACATCACACATTGGTTTTGACGGACTCCAAGAGGGTCTACTCCTTTGGGTGTGGAGAGCAGGGGCAGCTGGGACACGGAGAGGAGAGTCATCCGTCTGTGCCGCTACCTGTTCAACTGCCACAGGGTATCTACACGGTGAAAAATAGATTAAATAATGCAAACGCAATGAATGACTTCACAGTGATTTCACCTTTATTCTGTTTTTTTTCCAGACACCAATGATGTAATTAAAAACATCTTCGCAGGGGGAAACTGTTCATTTGCAGTTTACACGTCTAATGAGGTACCAGCAGAAAAACATACAGTGCAGACCATAATGGTCATGGGCAGTGCTTGAATTGGAATAAAAAAGGTGCCAGTACTCTAAATCAGCAACAAGTATTTGGCACAAAGTCATAGTATATCCTATAATGCTGGTGGGTTTGTCTCTTTACTGTATATTTTAGAAAGGCTCACTGTACTTAAACAAAATGACTCAGGGTGCATCTGAGATTAGAGAGGGTGCAGTGGTAAAGTGCTATTTTTACAAGTGGGGAGTGGACCTGACACCCTCTAGTCTAGGGGGGTCCGGGGGCATGCTCCCCCGGGAACATTTTTTTTAAAATATTGAAGTTAGATGCATCAATCTGGTGCACTTTGAGAGCAAAATGAAGAGATATATGGATACCTCTCAACATCCATAATGAAACAACTGTAAACAGATTTACTTTTTCTTTATGGATATAAAAGAAAGTAAAGCTTGACTGGCTGGTTAAATGACTCCTCGTCCCTGAGGCCACTACCAGTTTTTTGTGCCATTTTGCTGGATTTATTTGTCAATAGCGTTGCTGCACAAAGTGATAGCCCTCTAGTTTAAATCTACTACCCAAAAAGAAACATATGGAGATGGGTTACTATTTAAAAAAAATTGCAAATCTATTTGGGAACAGTGGGGCCGGGCCTCAAATCCTATAGGGGGGTCCGGGGGCATGTTCCCCCGGTAAGATTTTTTTTTAAATGTTGGACTTAAGTGCATCAATCTGGTGCATTTTGAGGGGGAAATAAAGAGACTACACCCATATGAAACAAAAATGTATACATTTAAATAATCATAAAATCATAAGTACATGGCCATAACCAATAACATACAATATCCAATATGAAAAAACATTGAAACTTGTTTATTTATTTGTTTTTGGTTCATTTATAGTTGTGAGTGTGTCTGGGCTCCTGAATCGGCCTCTCCTGTCTCCCTCCTCTCCCCCCTGCTTCTCTTTGAGGCAACAGCAAAGACTAGTTTTAGCTCTCAACAAGTTTATCTTACCTTTTTTCACCTAGTTAACATTTTGTTTGTATTATTCATGCATATTTTACTAATCACTACCCCCTCAAATGGAAATATGTATTTACATAAATGGTGACCGAACCGTTTGAGACCCACTGAGATAACTTAAACTAAGTTAACTATCTAAAGACTCAGAGAGTAATTTACCTCACCAGGGGCCGTATTCACAAAGCATTTTATCTTACCGCTAGGAGTGCTCCTAACTCGCGCTAAACATTTTACTTAGGAGTTTTTTCTTAAAAGTTATTCACAAAGCCGCTGAGACCTACTCATACTAAGGATAAATCACTAAGAGTGAACTAAGAGTGACGCGCCGTTGCTATGGATGACGTCGATTCTCGTGCATGAGTTTAGAAGCGGTCAGTACGGTGATTGGTTGTTCAGAGTAGGCGGTCTCGGT